ACTGCCAGTTGTTTTAGTTCTATTTCTTCAGATCGCATTCTGTCAATGATCCTAGTGACTTTCCCTCTTTTCTGTTCTCCACCTTTGTCTGGAAGCCAATTAAACATGGAGCAACCGTGGCTTCCAGGGACAGTATCGGTGGGTTACATTACTGACTAGTTATCATTCCGATACCCGACAATGATGAGGCTTCCTCGGTGAATAACAATCAATTAGAACGATCAACAAATTGTCGGGTAAAGTACTCTTAATACGGGAAATGTTTATTATTATAGGTACGTGTTTGTACAACTACCAAATCCTATGTGCATCTAACATCGCGATATACCGCTGTCTCCGATACAGGGTTTGCATAGGAATCCAAAACGTTTGGTTGGTCAAGTGCTTGTCTTCATACGTTCTTCTTATAACTGGCAGCTGCACTTGTTACGAGGTGTATACCATAATAATATACCCTCCTTCTGTTGCTTGATGGTCGTATTTCCCATGAGTCTTATTTTGCTTAATTTTATCTAGTGATTTCTAGGGCGATACTTCTTGTGTGTTCTTGCGTGTTTATGATGAAACATTTTTTTTAAATTTAAGCCTTGAGTTCCTATTAAATCATGAGATTTCACAGTGCACCTTAGTATGCATTTCATGAAACACCGTAAAATTGAAGGTCTTACTTTAAGTTTTCCTTCTTATTCCACAAAAACGTGATCTGCTGTCTTTTGAAGATCGAATTCACTTATATGACGATTTTAACCGTATCAAACCACTTTTTGCGTACACTTTCCTTGCGTTGTCACCCTGCTTGAACCTATTTTAAACAACCACTAGAACATTTTCATTATTATAAGCAGAGCTTCTTGGTCCTTCTCAGATTATTATGTGTTACTAGGCCGTCCATAAATATTTTCAACTTCTGACCATGCGCGGATAACCAATCCTGAGAGGAAAATTAAGGTTCACGATACGTCCTCACAAAACAGTTGCTTGCTTCAGACATTATAGTTTACGATGTTCTACTGTCACCTCTTCTCCCTCCATACTACTGAATTGAGATCGAAAATGACTGTTTGTATGTTAACAGTGCTGACAATATGGATGGCTTTATGCTCAACAGATGCACCTCAAGATTCGGAAGGATGACATCGACCGCATACCAGCACTTGCCTCAAAACTGGTCTTTTATTGAATAATCACAAACCAGACCAATCCTTTTTCACTGCAACCCGCTCCCAGTCCTGAGCCCGCAAACATTCTGCACAATGAGGTATCCTCTCTCCAGTTAGATAGTGCTATTCCGATGTTCAATCTTTCATTCGCCCTTTAGGGTAAACCTCTTTTCCCACAAACTAGTAAAATGTCGCATTACCTTTATCGTTTACGTTTCTAGTATGCACATCCATCTTTAATCTGGTGATTTATCGATTCCTGCATTCCGCCCCATTCTCTATTGTCATGCGCTTATTTCCTCGGCTTTGCTTGGAAACGCTTTGCTGTCTGAATCTGTAAGTACAACTCAGCACATGAAATGATCGCTTCTGTTTTATAAGCCCTATGACTGGCAAAAGGTGGGGTTTGAGACAACCCAATTAAAGCAGCAAAACCTTTGTCAAAGTTGATATTTTTTAAGCAATTCATGGCAGGCCAACTTCAAGACGACACTTCACATGCTCTAAACGTGTGTATACAAACTTATGCATAAAGAAGTTCATGTTAAAAGGTGACTGGGATGTACGACACACAATTACCTCCATCAAAGGCACATGTAAGACAAAACGAAGGCGAACAGGGGAACATTGAAAGGGTAGGTAGCTCGACAGATATTTCTAGTGTTTATGAGTTTTGTGAGTGGGTTTGCCGTTCCCTGTAGGTTAACTTAGCCAACAATATTCAGAAGGTCCTCTTCAAAGAAGGCAATTAGGAACATGATGCCGGCGCCGGTAATAAGGCCAAGGTTCTGAATGATCAGTTGAACCGTGCGACTGCGTCCAGCTTTAACTTCAACCGTATTGAGCTCTGGTAGCTGAAAACCAAGAGCGGAAATTTTAGTATGAGTATTAACTTGGCGGCCTGCATTGAAAGGTGTACTTTTAAGAGCGGGGTTTTGTATGAGGTTCTTGGCAAGACTGACTTTGTAGGAAAACCCGTTTTGTGTATTTCAGTTTTCAATGCAGATATTCAAAGGAATGCGGTAAAAATAATTAATTATACCTTCATCGCTGTCTGATACCTTTCATCAATACTTTTTATACTCATTTTCTAAATATTGTAGTTTGCTGCCAAAAACTAATATGGTTTTGCTTTTTTTGTGAGCGTAAGGTACAGAGAAAATGTGATCGGACTGGAAATTCCACTAGCTTCACATGATAACTATATATATAACGACAAAGCACATTAATTCATGCATATTTGCATAGAAATAAGCGGTTCATAGTAGAATGCTTAACCGTCTTGCTGACCATATCGAATGGAATTTGTATTTGGGCCTTCGTTTTGTGGATATGGTACGGTATCATAATATACGAAAACATTAGTGGATGGACGCTTACAGATCGGTTACGGGAATAACTCATTCTGTTTTCTCTTACGGCTCACTCTTGAGTCCTGCCAGTAGCCGCAGAGCAGCTAGTATTATTGGTAGATGAACATTATCGACAAAGACAACGGAGAAATGGCCATTCCAGTCACCCTGCCCTGCCTGGTAATTTTCATCTGTGTTAAAGGATCCCACACCAAAAGCCGTACGTTCGCCTTTAATGTGTGATACCTTTCTGCATTGTTCAGTTTACATGAGCTCAGGTAACATAGCGATGCCGTTGATGGCAAAAGCATCGTGCAAAATGCAGACCTACCATGTCAACCAAGGCGATGTAAATGAAAGTTCCTGCTGTTAGCGCGAAAATCCATGTTGCAGCAGATTCGATGTTGCCCACTCCAATGCCAACAAACATGCCCACCAGGCACAGGACCGAGGATACGACGTTGAAAAATAAGGCCTCCTTAATGCGCATGCCTGTCCTCAAAAGGACTGCAAAGTCACCTGTTGCAAGGCAATATATAAGTGCATTTAGTATGCGGGTATTTATGTCCAGTCCTCACTTTGCTCAATAATATAAAGAAAAATATTTTAACTGCCAACAGCCATTTTTGTGGAGTGGTAGAGACCAATTGCAGTTTACTCTGATGAAATAACCCCTACTTTTTCCAGGTTGTGGCAATTAATAATCTTAGATGGGTATTAGAAAGGAAAGTATATAGTTTTGATTGACCTGATCATTATTAGGGCAGGATATATTC